TTTCCTTTCTTTTCCTTTCATTTCCTTTCCTTTCTTTCCTTTGTCTCTCTTTCCTTTTCTTCAGTTCCCTTCTCTTCCGTTCCTTTCCCTCCCTCCATTTTTTTCCAATTGCTGCCCCAAACTAAAGTCAGTATTTACCAATCATACCACTGGGCGAACTGCTATTTTCACAAAGCTGAAAATTCATCATTTAAAAAACTGCAATGTGGTAATTCACTCTGCTATCAAAAGTTCCTTTCACAGTTCCCTGCGCCATCTTGAAAGGTAATCGTACCTTTGCATCGAAACGAGAGACAAACGGTGGTTGCAATGATAGAGACTTTCTTAACACCTTGAAAAATTATTCACGTCTCTATCATTGTAAGTTCACTGTTCTTCTCAATTCGATGCAATGGCATGCACGGCTACCTTTCAAGATGGCGCAGGGAACTGTAAAGGGCGCTATTCATCTTCCCTCCAAAAATTCTCTTACCTTGAACGAAATCGTTCATGACATCGATGCAAGTCACTTCGAAATACTATTCACCTCACTCGCATCAATGATGACTGAAACCTAATGATTCTTTACCGACAATATGGATCGCCTCCCTTTTCCGGGCTGCAATACTTTTTAAATAACAAGAAAGTGTACCTAAAAATCTAAATTGTTTTTGAATTTTATATAGAATTTCCAATAAGCTCAAAATTCAATTTGCCTTTTGAAAAGTAATTATGATCGGGTTTCGGCTTAGATTTTGTACTTAAATGTGATAGTAATCTACGTAAGAGACATGTAGTCCTGCCTACCGGGCAGCCCCTGGGGCATTTGATGTTCTTACATGCTCTCCGGGGGGCTGTTGACTTCGACTTGAACTGATGGATTTACTAAAATACACTGAAGGCTTCAATACTTGTAGCCAAAATAGTGCTTTCATTAAGCCTTGCGGAGAGTCTGAGATAAAAGAAAAAAAAAAAAAAAGAAAAAAAGAAAAAGAAATGAAGTAGGAAAGGAAAAACGCAAGGAGAGGAAAAATAAAAATAAAAGACAAGGTTTATAGTCAGGTAGACTTAAGGACTTAATTTAAGAAGTGCGGAAAGATGATTGCGAATTTATAATTTTGTAAGTACGTATACTCATAGTTCAAAAACCGTCAGACATCGTGGATCAGGGGCGCAATAAAGAAGGAAAGAAGACTGAAACAAAGAAGAAAAAGGAATAAAGAAAGAAGCAATACTTTTGGGTGGCAGGGAAAGTATTGATCTTTCTCTTATGGAGACGTTTTATTCATTTGTTTTAATTAACTAGCTCAGCATAGCACATAGCATACAGCCTATAACGCTTATCTTTCTGGCCTTAGGTCTCGCTGTCCCCAGAATCCTCGTAAACTGCTTTTCAAAGGATTATTAAGATAACTATCAGCCCGCACGGCTAACACAAGCTGAGATAAGGAAATAACCTTCAACTAAACTCAGAATAAATCTTCTTAAATTTTCGATTATCGAATTTTGGTCTAAGAGGCACTTCTAGTTCCCCTCGTTTAATTTAATTTTTCTGGCTATTTTTCGTTCATCCTACTGATAGATAAACTCCCAAGAATGGTGTTCACTTATCGCGAGCCACAAGACTGACAACAGTAATGGGCATTTGTATGTGTTGTTGATAGGAGGATGATTGTAGGAAGAGAGGGGTGTATTTAAGCTAATCAGGTTTTGTCTGTTGAATTAGGCTTCTTAAATGGAACGTCAACGGAATATTTACCTTTGAGTTGAGCATTTCCTGGTTTAAGAGAAAATCTGATTACTGCGAATGAATGTGCGATCCTTATTATTATATCACGCACGTCCAGTTCATCTGACGTCAAAGCCTATAAAATCTAATGTGTTGAAGGGAGTTTCTTGGCTCACAAGGTCGTGTAGAGTCTTTACGGAGTCTAAGGCTGTTGGCGTATAGAACTAAGGGGGGTGGGTGGGGAGGGGATTTGAGATTCACGCCGTCCACTCAAAAAGAGGGGACATCGCAGAGGGGGCAGCTGATGACACTTTTTGGGGTGTGCTGCGGTCCTTCAGCTACCGCAGTCTACCGCCACCTTTACAATTGCAATCGACGACCTCAAAAAGCACTAGTTTTCAGAGAAACAGCAGGGTAGGAGGTAGGAAAGTGTTTTTATATATACTTTGCAGCCGTCACTTGCCGCAAGGGGCCCTTTTTGTGAGGTTTGCTCCACGCGCACTACCACTGCTTTGATTATTTACATAGTCATACGCCGAATTTTTACGCAGGCCGACTGGCTGGCGGGAAAAAACTCGTGGTAAAGGAGGGAACGATACATCAAACGAATTTATCAAATGATACAAGAGACTACGGTTTCCACGCGTGTAAAAACATGACGTTTCAAATCAATATGTGGCTCACATCTGGACCGTTGCAACCTTCGCAAGGGCGTAGCCTCTTGGCTACAATATTGCGACCTTTTTGGATTCATATAGTAATTTTTGTTTACTTTGCTAAATTTTGCAAAATTAAAACTTGAAACATGACGCCGGCTTTTTTTAATGGCGGAAAAATACTGCTTTTAGCCGTGTTTATTCATAGGTAAGCAAAAACATTTTCAAAAAAGGTCTCAAAAATAAGATATTCTAAGGATTAGTTAAAACAATTATTTTTAATATATTAGACTTACAGAAATAGACGTATTATATATTAGGCTTACAGAAATAGACTTATTTTTAAAGTTAAAGCACTCGACTAACATTGAGTTTCAATGAACAAATATTTATTCCTAAATAAACATACTCCCAAAGAGGAGTACGGGTTGTCCATTAGGCCCTGGAGGGATTTAAGGATATTCAATTTTGATTTATCTTAGTGGAATAAACTTTTTGGTCATGTATATTGACTATTAGATTGGAATTCCTAACAATTGAACCAATATCCATTGATTTTGGAATTTTTCTCTTTTACATTAAAATTAATAGAGGTTTTGCACCACCACATGATGGCAGCCATGTTAGATGGCAGGAACAATACAATCGTTTTACATGAGAAAGAATTCAATTCCCAAGAGCAAAGGGATTCTATTGTTCTGCCATCAAACCACAGGCAGTCCAAGCTATATTATGGGCACCAGCACATGATGGTGCAAAACCTCTATTGTACCTTGGGTCCCAGATGCTCCCTTGCTTCAGTGCTTCTCAAAACCTATGTTAAACCAAGACTGAAAAGCACTGGATCGAGAGAGCTTCTGGAGACTAGGATTTTAAAATTTGTTGCTATTTGTCATATTTATTTTTCTTCAAAACACTCTTTTTTCACTCCTTTGCTCACTCAAGAACCTATTATATAAACGTAAAAGTAAACAGCAAAAGAGTTGAATGTATATGCCTTCTGATACTTGTAAACACATTTCAATAAAAAGATAAAAAATAACAGCAAAAAATATTTTTCCTCAGCATATTTTTAAACACCTAGTTATATATATATATATAAGAAAATTGAGAATATAATGCATTTAATGGTGTTGAGCTGGGAGGTCCATCGAAAACTTTGCCTGAGGACTTACGTGGACCAATCAACACCCTAATGTCCTTAGCAGGTGGAGAATAAAATACTTAAAGATAAATAAAAAACAGAAAGATTCGAAGGGGGTGACTGTTTCCTAGAAATGCATCACCAGCTTCCTTTTTAGGTCGTTATTCTTATTATTTTTCAATAGCTAGCCACCCAATGCACCCCCTGGATCCAACCTTGCTCCTATTTGATTTCCTTCCACTAACATTATTTGCTAGAATTCTGGAGCAGAAAAAAATATTAATAACAATTTTTATTTGACTAAATTCGAATAACAGTTAAATAACTGTGACTCCAAAATGGACTCTAGGTATAGACATGCTCGAAGCAAAATTCCATTCATTGATTCTTGGATCAAATATTTCCATGCTGTCAAGAAATTGGCCATTGAATCCACCCAATACAAAGAGCCTGTCCTTCATGACTGTAACAGATGCCGCAGACCTCGGTCTGTTGAGTGATGGCAAGACTGTCCATGTGTCAGTCTGAGGATTGTAGCACTCAACATCTTTGAGGTAATTATAACCATCAAACCCTCCTATGACATATAGCACTCCATTTAAAGCTGCGACTCCTGCAACTGACCTTGGCTTGTCTGTAACAAAAAGGTAGTCATTTAGAGGTGGTGTAAGTGTGGCATAAAGAGAGGGTTTGAGAAGGTGAAATATTGGATTTGCTTATATTTAATATTGCCTTGGGGAAAAAGTAATTTTATTAACTGGATGGAAAAATGGGATTCTGAATTACTCCCCTTTAGATTCAGTAGAGATTGCCTTGTCTGAGCATTTTTGGATGAGAAGGTTTTTTATTCAGTTTGTCAAATGGTAATACCAACTTTATTAATTTTATTGTACTTGTGCAAAAGAACTTGTGCTAAATGAATTGTGAGAAAAGGCATTTTTGCAAAATGATTAATATCCCTAAAACATCAACTTATAGGTTCAAGTAAGGTCATTATATGTATATCATGAACACATATTGCGCTGTAAATGTCCACACAGTACTCGGAAAAGATAAGAGATGTGCTCTCAATTTTTTGTCCATAGGAAGCCCAAGACCTTTTGATCTTTGCATGAAAGGCTGAACATCATACTTACCCATTGAAGAAACTGGTGTCCAGACATCTGTTTGTGGATCATAACACTCCATAGAACTTAGTCTGTTAGCTCCACTGTGCCCTCCAACAGCATACAGCAGACCTCCAAGAGCAACCACACCATGGTACATTCGAGGTGTTAACATGGGTGCAACAAATGTCCACTGGTCAGAGAACGGATCATAGCATTCAACTGTTTTCAAACGCTCTTGTCCATTTGACCCTCCAACAGCATAAATCTTCCCACATAAACAAGCTGCTCCAAAGTACTTTCTTTTGGTAAACATGGGTTTTTGCAAGGCCCAAGAGTCGTCTTCAGGATTGTATGCTTCTACTGTATTTAGAAACTGGCCATTATGGTAGCCACCAAGACAGTAGATACGGCCTCTAACTTGAGTTACAGCAAAACCATATCTTGAGGTCCTCATAGCTGGGAATGTAAACCATTCATCTGTGTAAAGATTGTACCTCTCAGTAGAGGATACTGCTTCACCTGAAAACAGACCTCCTATCGCAACCAACACATCAGCAAAACCTGTTGGCATGCGAGGTTGCATCCTAGTTACATAACCATGTTTGCGTTTTTCGGATGATGGTGATAAGGCATACTCAACTGCCTCCTTAACCATGAGCTGGCACTCGTCATTACCTTCGAGAAGCTTATTATTTATGACATTTGTGGTTAAATATTCAGGTGACAGTATTGGTAGACGCACACACCCTAACACTTCAGCAGTGTACATACTCCTGGGCTCTGACGTCAGAGAAAGCCAATCAATTGCAGCTTGATAGACGTCTTCTTCAGAGCGCACGGAAATATTCTCATCTAAAAGAAGAGTCTTTACTTCTTCTAATCTTAATTGTTTAAACTCATCAAACTTGACGACTTCGTTAAAGTTTTTAACAGTGAACTTGTTTGCTTCATCAAGAAGTTCTTCGCAGGAAAATCTATCAGCAAGGGCTGCGATACCCAAACAGTTCGAGGGATGTAACTGTTCTTTTAGGAATTCACAACATACATTGACGATCTCGATCAACTGGAAGACACGCGCTGCTTTCAACAAGCTCTCCACGCTGTCATCATTAATGGACACTGAAGAAGTGTACATAAATTTGATGATCCCTTGTAGTGACTCGCCCTCTATGTCTCTTAGTTTGATCTTCTCTTTTGAACTCTCAGCTAAACGACCAGTAAACATCGCTCTGAAATACGGACTCAACGCGGCCAAAACATTACGATGTACCGACACAGAGAAACCATCCTCTGTTTCTAGAATCACATCACAGAGCTCTTGTAGTTCGTACATGGCGTGAAGTCCCAGAAGAGTACGCTGTGCGTTGCTACTAGAAATATATTGAATGGTTGACATGGTGAAGATAAGGAATACAAAAATTGATGGAAAGTTTTGTTAAACTTATCTGAAAAATGCGTTTCGTGACAGAAGGAAGATGGTCCAATGGAACGTGACGAACAGAAAACTATCATTGAGCGATCACGAAATAAATAAAAATTATCGCTTCACAACAAAAGAAATTATCGAACGTGCAATCTAAAAAAAAAACTTTTAACGCGTGAAACTGCTGACTTGATTGAGCCCGCATATCCAAACAGCACAGGCAACCCAGACTTTACATTGAAAAGTCCCGTCAAGGAATTGAAGGTAAAAAAATATATCGTCATGCTAAAAGGGTTAAATCACTAGCTATGCAGGCTAAAGAGATTGTATTTTAGACTGAGCGTTGTAATTTGTCACTCGCTGTATTTATATGTGCAATGTTAAGATTGGGTTACCTGTGGTGCAACAAGAGAAGTGAATAACAAATCACGAGTTTGGGGAAAGTTAAGTTTGCGAATTTTAAAGCTTTTTGGTTCAAAGCTACAATTGTTAAATAACTTATTCTGCTAAAAAAAAAGCTTAGCAGGACGCTATATTTTAAATTTCAAAATCAAAGTGTAAATTGAAAGAGTTTGGGACGTCTTTGGGGTACAATCAACACAAACCAACATGACCAAACAAGAAGAGAAAGATTTTCAAAAATTCCTTGACGAAAATCAGTACTCAAGCAATGGAATATTGCGATACGAAAAGCTATTTGGTCGTGGTTTCGTAAGTACTGGTGGAGCAGAAACTACAGAGGTACTATATAATGATATTGATGGGGGTGGGGTAGGGAAGCTGATGGGTTAGGACCTTTGTATGGGGGACGTGGCCTGCGTAAACACCGGCTAGGGGGCTGCATGAAATGAAGTCTATAATAATGCCATGTTTTTAAAAGAAGTGCGAATAGTACCTAGCTATCTCCAAGGCCAGGACAAGCACCTCCTATAATATTTCCTTTTGTTTAAATTTCAAAGGAGTTTGTCATGATGCTAAACTTAAAGCCAGGTCAAAAGGTCCTTGATGTTGGTTGTGGAATTGGAGGAAGTGCTTTTTTCATGATTAAGGTACCGCTAATAAATATTGTCTACTCTATTAATTTATAATTTGTTGCAGTTTATTTCTTTTTTTGTTGCAAGAATTTTGGTGTTGATGTCCTTGGTGTTGATCTGTCAACTAATATGATTGACATTGGAAAACAACGTGCAGTAGAAATGGACTGTGAAAAGGTTAGAATTGTTTTATTGTTACCATCCTGAACCTTAATAGTAGCCTGTGTAGTCAGCCTAATGGGATAGGGATGGAGACTTACTAGTAAGAGAGTAAAATCCCCTCCCTATTACCAAGGACTGGCTATATATGTCAGGATAATATTCTAGGTTTAGTCTTGGAGCCTCTCCCTACAGGAAATGTTTTTTTTTTAAAGGAAAATACTAGATATAGATCTACTATATTATGTCTTCATCTTTTTAAGAAAGCACAGAAATTGCACCCCCTCTCCTCCCCACCTCCACCACCACCAACAAGGGTGTTAAAGCTTTTTGTCATTTATATCTAATCTGGTACAGAAATGATCTTTTGCCTCCTTCTTGATCATCAGGTAGAGTTTTTAATAGCTGATATAACTACAGCGACTTATGAGCCAGCATCATTTGATGTAATCTACAGTAGAGACACTATCTTGCACATTGCAGAGAAAGAGAAACTTTTTGCTAATTTTCTGGTAAGACTCTTCATTTCTTTTTTTCTCAGTATTAAGACTAATGAGGCTTACAAGGATATAAAGAAAAACTAATGAAAGCTATGCCTTTAAAGAATCATGCATAAAATAATGTTTATCATTGTTCAGCATTTTTCTCACTATACTTCTATTTCAGTTTTTTGACCTATTATTTCTCTGACATCAGAAATGGTTAAAACCTGGTGGGCAGCTGTTGATTTCTGACTATTGTTGTGGTGAAGGAGAGCATTCAGACAGGTTCAAAGCTTACGTCAAACAAAGACACTATCACTTACTAACTGTTCCAAGTTATGGAAAGGTATAATGAAAAACATTGTAATAAAAAGTGGTACTAGAAACTTCTATTTAGGCTTAATTAATCCAGGCAGGGGTCCAAGTAAGTAATGGCATTTTTGCCCACAAAGATACATTAGAGAAATTTCTGTTAAAGTTACATAAAGGTTGGTTAAAAAGAATAAGTAACACACACACATAATTGTTCTTTTTAGAAATCACTTGAATAGCCAAGAAACAATGGTTTCAAGTCAAGGTTAAACTTGATATGTTATTACATCGATTTACTGTATCTTATAAAGTTTTAGCTTGACTTGGAACCATAGATTTTTGGGTCACTCAAGTGAATTCAGGAAAGAACTATTAAGTTAGCTTATGTTCCTGTAAAACCCGGCCTTTAATTGCCCTATAACACTATGACTTCACATCAAAGCAATCTATTGTTTTAACGCTATGGATCATGGTCGCCAGAGGGGGCAAAATAGCATCAAAACGAATTAAATCACAATAAAAAATGGTTAATAATTATTAGACAGGGAAAGGTGATAACAGATAAATGTTGTACTAAATATCCCAAACAAAAGAAAATTTTGCCTAAATTCCTATCATTCTTGGCCATGTAAACAAGCTGTGACATCATAATGTTATAGGTCAATTATATCACTAATTGTGCTGTTAATACCTCACAGTGAGAGAATAATGTTTGTTCATATATAATCATGCATCTAAGCCTGGTTTAATATTGAGGTATCCAGGTTTCGCAGAGTATGAAATGACATGCATGACCCAATAAGTATTTTCAAACAATATATATGGTCAATTATGTTTTGTTTTTAAAAATAGATGATTGAAAATGTTGGTTTTATTGAAGTAAAAGCTGAAGACAGAACACAGCAATTCACTAATATGCTTCAAAAAGAAGTAAAAAGAGTAGAGGGAAATAAAGAAGAATTTCTCAAAGTAAGTTGCTCCAGTTTATCAAACTTGTAATAAATTGTCAATAAATTTAGGTTTCTGTCTTTTACTAGGACTTCACACAGGAAGATTATGATGCTCTCATTAAAGGCTGGAAGGATAAGCTTGTCAGGTGTCAAGATGGGGACCAAAAGTGGGGACTTATTTATGCTAGAAAAAAACAATAGTTTTTTTTAATATCACCTGTAAGACTCTGTCAGCAGGGAACGTACTTGAATCTTGTTGTACGTAACTATAACGTTATGAAATAATATATTTTTATGATTGGGGCTGGGGATAATTTATGCATGGGTTTAGTATTTTTAATTAACCTAATATATTTAAGTAGATGGAAGTGTAGGAAAATGATGTTAGACATTGAATATTGATAGGGTAGTATTCAGAAGTCTTCTCCACAATGAAGTTTGAGGTGGAATGCAGTGGATGGGGGAGAGAAAATGGAAAAAAAAATGGAAAAAAAAAMCACTAAAGATCATATAGTTTATTTTACTCTTTGATTAATAAAACACATCTGAATTAACAAAATGTATAATTTTGCTGCTATTTATATTTTAAATTGGACTAAATTACCCCATTATCTCATTGTCTTCCGAGACATCTCCGAGTCGAACCGAGACGTAAACTGACGAGACTGACGCGATCGTCATTTTCCGATTATTTATCGATTGATCATCGGAAAAACTTTGTTATTTGTTACTATGACAACATGTCAAAGGGGAAGCAGCATCATAACAAGATGGCGGTCGGCGAAGAAAGCGGTCTAAAACGCGTTGAGCAGCTTATAAAGACAGCTATAGCTTTAGGAAACACTACAATTGACTTAGGAAGTAAAAATCTTACAGAAATACCATCTGAGATTCTAGACTTACCGCAATTGGAGGTAAGTGACTTATAATCGTGAGCTATTTTAGGATTAAAATTTCGTTGTTATCGGTCGAAATTATGGCGCTCATTTTGAAGCTTTTTCTTTGTTATAGAAAATTATTGTTTTTAAACTATCCTCTATGAGCAACTAGTATTGAAAAAGATTCTTATCTTCAAAAGATTCATAAAACAAAACAGTCCGTTAACCTTATTTTTATCTCTGTAGTTTCTGTATTTGGAGGGAAACAAAATAACGGCTTTTCCTGAAGGATTCTTTGAGAATCTACCTAATCTAAAATGGTTGGACGTGAGAAATAATCGTATCAGTGAAATACCAACTTCAGTAGGATCACACAGGTATTCTAAAATTCATTGTGAGCAAGAATTGTTCTTACATTTTTTATGCTTTGATCAGGCAGCCATATTTTTCAGCCATACTATGCCATACATGTAGATGAAAAATAATATCACTGAATCTTGAATTATTTTTTCTTCTTCTTGTCAAAAGATGTCTAAGGAATCTTCTTCTTGAAGGAAACGAAATTAAAGAACTTCCTCTAGAGCTAGGTAATATAAATAACTATGTTTGTCAAACAAGTTTTACTTTCTTTTGTGTAGTGTCCATTTTACCTCGCGTAAACTTTTTAATGTAAATTTATGAAGTGAAAATTATTTTTGTTATTATATTGTTTTAATCAAGCAAGCTATATATTTAATAACATTTAATCCTCTTTTTGTCACAGGGTTTGCTAAATGTTTAAGTGGCTTAAATCTGACATCGAATCCCTTGGAGATGCCTCCCTCGCAAGTTCTAGAGAGAGGAACACAGGTACTATCAGTTATTATAAATATATCAAATATATTAATAATATAAGAAACAATACAGACAGTAATTCACAACGTTTCGAGGTCATGCTGACCTCATCATATGACCTTTAATCGTTGTGAATTACTGTCTGTATTGTTTCTTATTATGATTATTCTTATTATTATTCTTCGTTTGCAATAGACGTCATAGCTGCCGTGTTGGAAGAATTCGACAAAAGATTTTTCAATTAATTCTTTTGTTATATCTTCCAACATGGTGGACATCCCTTTTGTTATTATGCTCTCTTGGGATTGATTGCAAACCAAGAATTAATCTCAAAATCCTTACTTATCAATAAAATATATTATATTATAAAATTGTTATTACAATATCTGGTTATTTTCAACACCGACTACTAGATTTTTTCTTGTCAATTTTATAATATGATTAATATTATCTTTTTGAAATGTTTTATTTAGGAGGTATTAAAGTTTCTCAGAGAAAAGTATGCAGAAAAAATGGGTCTTAATGGCCAGGAAAGTTTCTGTAAGTTGCTTTATGCATATCTATCATTTTTATTATAATTGTACTATGCTGTATACCAAGAACACTGTGCTACAGGAATAGTGTGCATGAGTTTTACTTTATTTTAAATTCTGATACTTCCATTCCATTATGTACAAGGCTATTAAACTGTAATTTAACTGTATTTTAAATTCTGATACTTTCATTCCATTATGTACAAGGCTATTAAACTGTAATTAGCCTAGGAATCTATAATATACACCATAACAGAAACCTTTATTCATTCATGTACTTATTTATTTTTGTTACAGTGAAAGAAGTGTCGCAGTCCTCAAGTGAAGAAGATTTGGGCTATGGCAGCAGAGATTATCAAAGTAAGTAGCACGCAAGGAATAAGAAAGCATTTTATTATATATATCAGGGGATTTACTTGAGTAAATAAACATTTTATACCTTCAGGTAACTATAAAAGCATTTACTGGAGTTATGGATATCAGATTTTTTTAATAAAAGAAAATTAAAAACCCCTGTTTGAAATTTTAGATTTTTATATTATTTACTTAATGTTTTGGAAAAGTATTTTTTTGGATTTCCATCTTTGTGAACAAGAGGGAAAGTGAAAAATTCAAACTGAATAAAAGAAAAGAAGTGCTGATATCCATCTCCTTTTTGCTTTTTTAGTTGCCATTGTCCCTGATGAAGAAAAAGAGCTGGTTAAAGATGAAGGGGTGAAGGTTGAAAGGGTCAAACTGCCACCGATATTCCAGGCAGCAGCAGAAAGATCACGGAATAGAACTTTCCACGAAAACGAGAATGTACTGAGAGGACTAAAATCCAAGCAATTTGAGCCCAATACAACTAAAAATAATTTTCAAGTTAGTGAACCAGAGGTTAGTTTAAAATCTCCTAAGAGACAGAGGAAGGAGATACCAAGAGGAAATTCACCACAGAAAGAATTATTTGCATCACTGGAAGAAAGAAAAAGAAAGGACAATTTCAGTGGTGCAAGGAGTAAAAAACATAGTGACTCTAGCATCAGGCAAAGCTTAGAGTCACAGAAATCAGAACGAAAAGCTGAGCATGGTGCAAAACCAAGTGTACATGCTAAGCATGCTAAGAGAAGAAAGTCAAGAGGACAAAGCCCCACTAAGAATACTGAACAGAATTTCAAAACAAAAGATAGCAAGCCACATCATTTAGCATTGAGCCATGATACTCAAGCTGTAAATCATAAGCCATCTCATCGCAAGCCAGACAATCCATTTATTGAGACACAAAACAGCAGTGATAGAGACAATACGATAAAAGAAATCACTTTGAAAACCAGTGACATGAATGTGGATGAGAGAATTGCCATGCCACAAAACTATCAAGAGACAAGCAAAAAAATTCATCCTGGTGAAATAGAAAGTGCAATACATGCTCCGTTCTCGTTAAAGCTAAATGAAGGTGATTTCATAGCAATCCAAGTGCCTGACAAGCTCTACATAAAGGGGCAGCCATGCTTGGGCAAGATAACCTCCACAGCTGACAGACTTGGATTATTGACAGTCCACTACTACACAGGGATATATGATGGGTGCTGGCGACCTATGATGAGTAGGACAAGCCCCTATCTGAGAAAAGTTCCTGAGGCTAGCGTGCTGTGTAAATTCAAATTATCTAGTGATGGCAGGATGAGTCCTATCACTAGGAACAAAGTGAGAAAAATCATTGATGGCGAATGAAGTTTACAAGAGAATTGTATTCACAGTGATAAACGAATTCCAAAGAATTCCATCACTATAACATGCATGCATGACTTCCAGACCACCTACTCTATAAGATGTGCTTTTTACAGTCTTTCTAGATCTACTCTGTAAAAATGGATATTAGTTGCTGCAAATTAATATTTTTAAAAAGTATTTTTTAGCATTCAACAGACTTTATTTATGAGCATAAGACAAATACTGTAATATCTTTAGAAATCGTTGGATATTGATACAGTATGATTGAAAAATTTATATAGATATTTTTATTGATATTGTAGATAGGGCATATAAACATATTATAATTTCATTGTATTTTTATGAGCACTGAGCACCAATAAATAATTAATATTATAGAAGGCAGAATGTGTAGTTATTTAGCTAATAATATCCTGCATTTTCCATGTGCACTTAGCCTTCTCCCTCACCCATCAAAAATAAACAACTCAGTGGTAAGTATTGACTTCTAGAGTAACCAATAAAGCTCCCAGAAAAGTACAGACTTATTGATATTTTCTCATGTGTACATTGATTACAACATAAAACAGTATGGATTAAGTCAAATCCCATAACAAAATGATATATGCTTGTTTAGCTAAAGAGCATTCATCTTGGTCACTACCAAGAAGAAAAACAAGCACTGAAACAGCTGATCCAGATCTCAGACCAACACACACCCCGGTGTCATTTCATCGTCCTCCTTCTAGGCCAGACCAAATACGCATGCAGTATGATAGGCAAAGAGCTTATCAGCATTCTGCTGAGCGTGAAAGGCGTCACTCTTGGAGCAAGGAAAGAAACATCGAAGAAATGTCAAATAGTCCTGCAAATGGCCCAAGAAGACTTTCACGTCCAACGATGCAAAAGAAACAAAGTCCAGCATTTGACCGGTATGTTATAAAGACCTATATATACTATTGATCACTATTCCTGTGAGTATATTTTGCTACAATCCATCTGATGACTGGATTTTTTAAAATTTAAAATTATATAGAACAAGGTACAATGCAAGTGCATCACCAAGATTTCCAGATTATGAAGCAAAAATTGCTGAGCATCAACAGATGGCCATCACTGCTATTCTGAATGAAAAAGAAGACTCTGTTTTACAAAAATTAAAGTAAGTCTTTTTGAATATCAGTAACCCATGTGATGTCAGCCCTAGTGACTTAACTAGAAGTTTCTAAATATAAGGCAACTATACTTAATCTTTTATACAGACATCCTTTGAGATGTCATGTAATTCTGCACTCCCTACAAGAAGAGAAGTGTTGTGTGACGACCTTCAGGACATCTGCATACAAGACTAAGAATATACTTTATCTATTTCTGAAATATGGTGGTATATTTTGTTTGCAATCTTAGAGATAAGAAGGCACTGAGTGATTGGCGTGACAAGACAAGAAGAATAAAACAGCAAAAACAACAGTTAGCTACATTAAAGAATCCACCAAAAGGTAAAGCCTTCCAAGCGATATCCCTCAAACATTCCAAAAGCTGAAGTTTTATTATTGTTGAAACTATATTCTTCATGTTTGATTGCACGCTATACCTTGAGAATACATCTTCCTTACATCATACGCTGCAGTTTACAATCCCCAAGAAAGATGTCGTCTCTCTCGGGTGTTGTAATACTGGTGTCCAATGTGAGCTGGCTGTATTTGCAAGTCTACTTGTATATGCACTAAAGAATGTTGTTTTCATTTTATTAGTTTATGTTTAAACTGGTGTTCTATGTGAGCCGGCTGTATTCTCAAGGCTATCTGTGTCCCGGGGGGGGGGGGGGGGGG